TTTTTTTTTTTTTTTTTTTTTTTTTTTTTTTTTTTTTTTTTTTTTTTTTTTTTTTTCATACTTCATTTTGTTGAAACAAGATTTTTATCTAACAATAAAAAAAAACTTTTTTTAAGAGGTGAAATTGTTTTTCAAAATTTACAGTGAATTCCATTGTTTTCACACTGGTTGAGGGGAACCATCTTTCATAAGTGCTGTATTGCAATGGGGCCTAAAAATATTTTGGTATAGTGATGAGCTGTTATCAACTTCTGAGTTTTTTAGGGCTAACTGAAACTCTATTTTCATGAGTGGGAGCTTAATAAAAAAATGTTTTTTAGAATATAATCGGGCACCTTCATTAATGCTCGACCATAAATTTTGATATCCCAATACACAATTGTTACGTTATCCACTAACGATGTTGCAATAAATAAAATAATTCAACTTGGAAATCTTTGTTTAAGTGAAAATTACAAATTTGAAGTAAACAATATTTTTAATAAACAAAAACATATCTCAAACGTCTCTTGCATGTAAATTTAATACTGGCATTTTAAACTCATTTTATAAGTGTTACAAAAATATTGATGTGTCACATGAAAAATTTTAAACAGTGTAACCATCGACTTTAAATCTAATTTTGATATCTTGAGTATGTAGTAAAATAATATTTAAAAAACTACACTTTCTTTAACGAAAAACTTTATCAGTTAGTGCTAAAAATAGTTCTCAGTTTACCGAACTGTTTGCAACTTTATATTCATGAGTGACCTTGTCAAATTTTCTTTGTCATCATTGACAGGTGCGATCATGTTTTTTAAAACTTCATACTCGTCCTTAATCTCCTCTGGAACTGTTGTTTGGTAAGTCTTAGTACAATCATTAATCAGTTGATTTTTAACAAAATCAAAAATATTGTAAGTTTTGTGATCAATAGTAAAATTAACGAAACTCTGAAAGAAATCAAGAATTTTAAAAAGTTGTATTAAAACGGCATAATAGACATTTCGTATTGTTGCCATTACTTTTAATATAGCGTTACTTGGGTCAATTTCAATGGCTTTTTTAAAAAAAATCACAGCATTCTTCAAGTCTTTTTTGTTGGAATAATACTGCATTGCAATGTGCAGATGAAATAACTGTTGGGTATGAGCTTCATGACCATACTTATCCATAACACTTGCTAAATGTTTTACAAGATCAAATGATTTTTGAATCTTTGCTCTACATATTCCATATTGGATTTCTGCTTTGTAATTTCCAGTTTCAGCTGATTTCTGATAGTATAAAGTAGCCATCTAAAAAAATTGACCATAAAGTAAATATACAAGAATATGAGAATATATGAAGATTGGACATGATATAAGATAAATGACCTTGTAGTTATTTTGTTTCTCAAAATATATAGCTTTGTAATGAAGATACATAGTATTGTTCGAACATTCGTTTTGAACAAAATCCAAACACTCCTTGGCATGTTCAAAATCTCTAATTTTAATGAAAGTCAAAGAAAGTCTTAATTTAATGCCGACACTATTTGGATTGCTCTTGAATATCTCCAAGCACAGTTCCTTGGCTTTGTTCAAGTTTCTTTTTTCGCAATACATCTGAGCAACAAACGCACCGATGTACTGACTTTTCTCGGACAACTCGTATGCTTTTAAGAAATTGTTTGTTTCCTCCACAGTTGGCCGAAAAGAAAGCTTATCTTTGCGTACCGCTCGCAGCTTTCTAGCCAGCAAAAAATGCCACAGTGGACAATCCGGACTATTGAGTATGGCACGTCTAAAGTAAGACACAGCAAATTCGTCCGGTGCGGCATTGTAGAAGACTGACCAAGACAGACCCTTGCAGCCATTGAGAGTGCCCACATTAATTTTCTCCCGCAGCTGAGTCAATTCAAGTTCAGGTACACTAATCAAAGCTTTTTGAGCTTCACTTGGGTTCCCTCTTGCTTTGAAGTAGTAGTATTTGGTTGCCCTGACAATGTGTACCAAAACCAATGCCGAGATCTTATTTTTACCCAACAGTCTGTAAATTACAAAGTTTATAATTAACTAATAGAATTTTTAAGCACCACTAATTAAAAGTCAAATTTATAAATTTTAGCTAAAATTATGTTTTTGTTTTAAAATAACAGAAACAGAATTGCTGTTTAATCTTAAAGTGGTTGTCAACGATTATTTGTAATAACATCTTTCAGCAAACTCTGAATGACTGAAATTTACTATAACTACGACTTTCAGCTCATCGAATGGTTTGTAGAAAAACTTGTGTAAAATTTTTGTAGCATGGAGTTTATTTTCGTAGTTCAATTAACTTATAAATTTTAAATTTGACTGGAATGTTATTCGTTGTTAAAGAAAAATACCATAATTTAATTGGTACAATTAAAAACTTTTAATTTTTCAAACATTCATTGACTCATACATGTATATGTATAATCAGTCATTTGAAGATAAAAGAGTTTATTATCAGACAAAACAAGAAACTCACTCTTGATCAATAGCCTTCAAGTGTTCGACAGCTTCGTGCATCTTTTCGTAAGCGCTCGCCAAGTCGTTTTTCAGAACGTACACAAAAACAAGGGTTACCGGATAGATGACCGCTTTAACCGGCTGGTCTTGAGAATTGACAAACATCTCTCGACTCAATTCCGAAACTAGTTTTTCATTCAAGCCCCAGGTGAATGGACATTCCAAGGATTTTCCGGTTTCATCCATTGTTTAAATACTTATGATGCACGTGTGCAAAAAAGACTGCAAAAACTTGTAAAACTTTTAAATTTTCGGTACTTAGAACCCGTAGAATCATAGAGATAATAAGGATAGAGTGCGCTAGAGGCTGCTGAATACAGCGATACGGTAAAAGAAAGAGATGGTTGCCTAGTGTCCTCTCTGTCTCTTTCTAGCTGAGCGCTGTGATTAGCTGATGCTCAAGAGGCAATAACCTATGTCAGTAACTGCCGCAGGCCGCTGACGGCCAGAATACCCCCTTGAGCAGCAGCCAATCACAGCGCTCAGATAGAAAGAGATGGAGAGAACACTCGGCGACCATCTCTTTCTTTTACCGTATCGCTCTCCCTTACGTACATTAGTGTAATTAGCGCACTCTATATCCTATCCTTATATCTCTATATATGCGTGGAATTACGGAAGCCCGATCACGACATCTGCACAAAAACGCATAATAACAAGTACTTATGAGTGCTCAAAAGCACGTAACGAGAGTGCACAAAAGTTGCAAAGCAGACAAATTCTATTTTATTTACTTAAGTAATGATGAATTCTATAGAATATAGAACACTCTAACTCTACTCTTCATACAAAGTACAATGTACAAGTACAAACATGTCATGACACGTTCAAAAACATTGTATATACCTATATACTTCTCTGTCTGACATTTCGAAAGGTGCGTTCGGCATTCCACATACATACGGGCGTATACGCGGCGGGAGGATACAAATAAGTGTACACCATATGTGTGAAACAATTTTTTAAACATTTTTTTTTTCAAGACCCATTTACCTAAGTATAAAGGCATTTTGATTGTGTTTGAGTCACTTACGGTGCTGAATCATCCTCATCATGTATATATAAATTGAAAACTATAAATAGATTTACCTCATTTACCTTACTTTTAATATGAGTTGCTGTTGCTGCTGCTCGGATTGCTGATCAGAGCGCTCCGGTTCGGAGCCTCCGAACCGATGCGAATAGAACGAGAACCAGAAAAAGCATATGACGCGGACCAAAAGTGACATACACACGTTTTTGTGTGTTGAAAGTTGAAACACAACAAACGAAAAGAAAATGGCAACTTCTAGTTTGAATGGTGACCTTCAGTTATGCAACATGTAAGTCTGAAGTAGCATTTTTTGATAAAAAAAGTCAAAAAATTATTCATTACAAGGTCATTTTTGTAAGATGTAACTCATAACCTAAAAATAAGTTCGATTAAAACAATTTGTACAACACCACCAGCTGGTCACTTCAATGTCAAGTCATTGACACACATTTTTGTTTTTGTAACAACAGATGCAAAGAGAACGAACGGCGCTACGTTTGTCCCAAGTGTTTCATCGGCTATTGTTCGCTCGATTGTTATAAATCTCAAGCACACCTAGAATGTTCGGAATCTTTTTACAAACAATGTGTGGAAGATGAACTCCGTGTTGAGCATTCTGATTCGCAAGTGAAACAAAAAACTTTGGACATTCTACAAAGGATATACAACGAGGATACAGAAAATGATGTTCTGCGAGAAATTTTGGTAGAAAATGGGGACGATGGGCAAGTGGAAGAACTTGACTCTGATGATGAAGCCGTGAGGTTTTTGTTATTTATTGCATTACAGGTTTGTTTGTGTTTTTACACATTGTATATTTCGTTTTTTTTCTTTAGGAAAAGCCTTTAGAAAAACGTTTGGAAAACATCAACTTAGATGATGCAGATGAACTGTGGTCTGCACTTACTTTGAATGAAAAGCAAGAGTTTGAAGCTCTACTTAAGAGTGGAGAAGCTTCCAAGTTGCTGCCTACTTGGGAGCCATGGTGGTCTTATCGATCAGAGAAAAAGTTGGTCAAAGATTTGGATGAGAATAGCAAAGATCAAACTTATATTAATAACTGTCCAAAAATCTTGGATATTGAAGCACTAAAGACAGTCATTGTAAGTGTAACTTGTAAATTTTTATTGTAAGGATTTTTTAATTAATAAAATTTAATGGTCCTACAGAAGGCATCACCTTATATAAAGTACAGTATTATCAATACAGTGTATGCCTATGCTTACACTACACTACACCTAAATGGAGAACATCAGTTAACATCATTGGATGCAATTTTCATATTTTTACGAATTTGCGAAGCTCTACGAATAAATAGGATATTTAAGGATTGTCAATCTGCTATTGAGAATGCTCTCCTTGAAATAACTAATGTAACAAATTACTTTTGAATCATGTTCTTGTTTTAAACTAAGATTATAACATTACTCTTTAAGTATTTTCCTTTTTTTTTTTTAGTGTGAAGCTTTAGCAGCTGATCAAGATATGATCTTGCAAACGCAAAACGCTGGTGACTCAATTTTACGTGGACCAGAAGAAGAAAACAAATTATTTTACATTATTGCTGCCCTGTCTGACCTTCATGGGTTAATGCGAAAGGCTAAAAAGGAACTATCAACGCGGAAATCGAAATCAACAAGCGAAGATTTCAAAAGTAAATTTCAATCGAGTATTGATTTGGGAATGACAAAAATATCAAAAAAAAATTTATCGTTGTACATAAAAAAAATTGAATTTTTTATTGCTTGGTTGAAATCCCTGAGCAAAACGTATTGCTTTGAAGAGGAGACTAACGATGTACAAGTGTAAATACGAGTGTGATTAAAGTGATATATATATATATTTTTTTTATGAAATGTATTTTATGTATAAATACAAAGAAAAATGTTTTGAAATAAATTATTTACCTTTCAATCATTTATGTTTTTAAATTCAAATGCGAGTCATTAACAATAAATATCAAACAAGACAGTATATTCAATTTATCGGAATGCATGTATGGTTGTTTTTAATATTTTGTAAGATTATTTTATTTACATTATTATTACATCATCTCACTTTTCGGCTACTTTTTTCCTTTCTGTTCATTGTGACTTTCGTTACAAATGGTAATAAGATATTGATAATTCACTAGGAGCAGTATATATACACACACGTGTACATACTAGCTGTAATCAGCTTCATCTTTTATTTCATTTTTTTAGAATTCATCGATATAACACTTGCATGACAATTTATTCATAAGTGGTAAATTGATAAATAATTACATATATTTGCCTAATTACTGAAGCATCCAGTTTTTTAGATAAATACTTTTATAGCGAAAATAACAGAAAATAATTGAGATGACAATAATATCCATTATCACACATAATTACGTGTATTACAAATGAATTATCAAATAAAGTGACAATGGCCAGCTATCATTAAAAATGATAAAATGAAGATTGAAGTCATAGTAATGTGTTGAATATGGCGTGAAAGAGTTTGAAAATGATATTACTACTTCTTGAAGTCAACATCATAGGTTTGTTTGACTCAATAATCACAGCCATAGGGAACAATACTGTGAAATACAGAAATATGTAGATCTTAGTATGTGTGTTATGCATTAAAAGAAGTGTCAGTAATAATATCAATATTAAAGTGCGGCATCCCAGTTTGATTACTTAAAAAAAAAACATGCAAAAAATAAATTAAAGCAGATTAATTACCATAAATAAAGGTTTTGAATATATTAATTCATAACATAACTTTTACTTAAAAAAAAAACATGATTTTTATTTCATACTGATTATGTTCGGATCAGAACCTAGCCCCAACGGTCTCTATCTGTCGATATCTAATACGAAGAGATTAATTGCATACCTTGTCAGAGGAATCTTAATAATTTATCAGTGAATACACACCCTTGTATCCTAAACGATATTAATTATGTTCAGATCAGAACCTTGCCCCAACGGTCCCTATCTGTTGATATCTAATCCGAAGAGATTAATCGCATACCTTGTAAGAGCAGTCTTAATAATTTATCAGTGAATATGTATCCTAGTATTTTGTAGTAAAAATTTTAATAATTTATTCAAAATATATNTAAACATATGTACTCCTTAAGTGTATTAACGTATATTGTATCAACAATTTTTTTTTTTTTTTTTTAAATAACAAAAATGTGAACGTGTCTTTTTTTTATAATCAACTTTAAAATGACATTCAGGTATGTGCGTCCTACTGTCAATCTTAAACCTTTTTCAAGTTACTTCTTAAAATTTTCGTTCTGCATGAGCTCAACTTATTCAATTTGCTCATTAATATCGTGCTTTACATTTTTGTTTGAACAAGAGCAGTTTTCACATTTCTTTGAGCAGTGGAAAGCTAAGGAAACATGTTAATTATTTAACGTTGCAAAATCGAGGCAAGACTGATACTTATTGCAAATCTTTGTAAATTAATTCAATAAAGTCTTTACGTGTTTCGTTACATGTATATAATATATATTTTCATTTTTAATGTGATATTCAACTGCAATTGCGTATACTGTAATTTATAAAATGATAAATTTTATTCATACAATAGATTTTTATGAAAGTCTTACTGTAAAACAATATTTATGATCATAAAACACATAAATCAACAATAGTTAGACTCGAGGGAGACCCACATTAAATAAGTGATTTTAAAGATAAGTAAATAAAATCAGTTTAAAAATATTTTTAAGAAACTAATAAAATAATTTGTAAGGAGCATTTGACAGCTGATATTGACTTTGGATGTTATCAGATTCTAGCTGGTGTTTTCATTTTTCTTTTTTACAATCCAATATAAATATATACTGAAAAATACTGTGAAATNTAATAATAATACAAACAGACTTTCATAATTGATTTTTCAAATTAGTATCTGAAAATCTTACGTACTAGTCGAACCAGAAATCCTTGACTTTGCCGCTAATGCAGTGAACTTTTTTCCTTACAAACATTCGCGTATAACATTTATTGCAGTAGTGTCGTGATCTAGTTTTCTAATTATTGTTACCGTCTTTGTAACTGTACAATAGTAGTTTTTTTTCTGCTTAAATACATCGTTACTAAACGATGATTCTATAACAAGTCTTTGCGCTTCAAAGTAAAGCAATTTATGTACCGAATACAATTTTTAATAATATCATCACACTTTTTTTCTTCTGATATTGCTGCTCAATATCAAAAAACAACGCTACAGTTTATTAGCTCGACTCTTAACTGAATTTTACGGATTTTTACAAATAAATTTACATAGAACGATTTATCAATGATAATGAACTGTTTGCCATCCGTGTAACAAAATAAAAAATAACCGATTTCATACCGATACCCGTTTATTGACTCAAGTTAATCAACGTTAATCATGACAGTTCTCATTTTACGAGGATCATAATTTTATTCTCATAATATCACTTTACATTTTAGATACAAATAATCCGTGTGGTTCGGGTTTTCGGAACCAAGAGAATTTTTTTTATTTTACGTGTAGGAAAATAACGAACTTCACGCTGGCTAGCATTTAATATCGAAAAGTCTTACCACGAAAAAATCTCCTTGAGCAATAAAAATTAATCAAAGCTTTACTCTGGGAGTTTATACGTTTTTATTATAATTGTTTTTTTTTTTTTTTTGGAACCCTCTTACTGTTTTCATGAAGTACATAAACCTCCCTTTCATCTCTATGTAATGTCCACTTGTGTAAGACAATGTCTTGGAAAATATATCGAATCGAATATAGCAACAACACTAGAGAGGTGATTATCGTATGTACATACACGTCATCGTCGTTGTCGTCGTCGTCATTCGTTATTTATTTTTAATTCCTCAGTAAAACGGGCGTTGATGGCTTGTTCAATAGGAGACCTGCTCCCTGAAAGCTAGCTGTACTCGTATTGGTGTTACTGGCGACTGTAGTGTTGCTTGGATTCCTCTGTATTTGTTGTTGCGGAGAGACCGGACAAGGTGCATCGTCACCGCTGTCTACTGCCCTTAGCGCGTATTTGAAGAATTCATACCTTAAAGAGGAGTCAGAATGAAAATATTCGTTTTTTAAATATTTGTCACCTTAAAACCTTTATTTTCAACCGTAACACCTTTCAAGTAATAATCTTTCATTTTTCGATAACTTCTTTCATTTTATTAGTACATTCTTCTAACTAAAACTCATGTGAATTGATGTGGAATCAATTTCATATTACTCCATTGTACATGTTAAATTTTTTTTCAAGATTCAAGCTTAAAAGCTCAAGGTCAATCATAATTAGATTAAAAAAAAACTCATGCATTACAAAAAAAAATACAAATTATTGTGTACCCAGTTTAAAAAAATTAACGTATGACAAACATAAGACTCACGTTGACCAACAAATGGCTGTTGCAGGCATTTGATAAACGATCCGAGCACTGAGACCCCGGTAGAAGCCAGGTAACCCGTAATACCTGTACACCAATTTTATCGCGTCTTTTATACCTGAAGCGCGCACTTCGGCCGTCTGAGTATTAAGCAGCGTTTTGCAAACATCGAGGGGCATCGAGATTGTCGCCGCCACTGCTCCCGCCATCGCACCTAATCAAAAAACATGTACACCTTATGTTGCGAGAGTTTGCTGTACAAAGCGAGAAAAAAAAAAAACAAAAAAAACAAAAAAAAAACAAAAAAAAAAAAACAAACATACCTGAAACCATGTGTGCCGTGGGATTGTAGACGTGTTGTGGATTCGTTATCGACTGCACGAATTCGTAAGTGACAAAGTGAATGCTCTGGAAAGGTATGTTCATTAACAGTGTCGTTCGGTAACTCCGATAAAAGGCCGCTATGCCCTCCGTACCATAGACGTGTCTAATACAACCAAACACGGTTCTGTACGGTGTATTAGGTATCTGCATGCGCTGTTTGATCACTAAAAACGCAAAGACAAGAAATTGTATTTACCGAATAATTTATACGTTTCAACAAACACGACACTGACCTTCAGCTGGATTCATGACACCGTCGTGCAGGACCGTAGACACAACGCCAGCATAAGCGTACGTCAGGTGGTTGCTCGTTTTCTTGCTCATCATTTTTTCCTTGATAAATTCGTAGCAAGAAAAGTACAGGGCGTGAGCTGGACCGGCTCCGACGACCATGGCGCTTATACCGCGAAAGGGCCTCAGTATGCCCTCCTGGCGCATCATGTTGCCGATCTCGGCAATTATACCGCCACCTCCACCTGGTCCTGGTGTCAGAATTTGCATTCTCGTCTGAAAAAAGAACGAAAGATGCGTGACTTTTAATGAGTACTTAAATATTTCGATCAAAGAACAATTAATACGTAATTGTTTTTATTTTTTCATTCATAACAGTTTTCATTGTAATGTTCTGAGAGTGACGAGTACGTTTCAACATGATACATTTACGGCGTTACATAATTTGTCGATACATGACTAGTGAATACTTGATTTGTATTGTCAACAAAGTATGTATAAGCAAAGTATTAATTCTCTAGTGCATTGTAAACATTAAATCTTACGGGAATTTCATAGAGTTTTTATACACTGCACAATGACGTTTTAGCATGTTTTTTTTTTTTTTTTTTTTTTTTTTTTTTTTTTTTTTTTTTTTTTTTTTTTTCTTACGAATCACCTGGGCTTGCGGTTGAAACGCGAGAGATACTGTGACTTGCATAAACTGATAACGACTAGCACAAAATTCTGTTTTATAATTTTCCTTAATAGCTCCTCATCAAAACTAATATTATTATTTTATTTTAAGGTCTCTTAAAATACATAAAGAGTTTTAATTTTGATACGACTTTTAAATTGCATTGCAATAAAAAAAGCAGTCACACTCTACTCAGAGGTAAAATAGAAGAAAAAAAAGTTTGAAAACATTAATAAATAATACCTAGCACTGTATTTCTTAAACCATATAGTTTGTCTCTATGTGGCATCATAATGAGCCTGATAACAAGGAGTTATGTAAGCAGGATTATGCTGAAACTTTTATTTGTATATGTTTCATGGTGTCAAAAGCTTCTTTGAGTCTACTTATTTTAAATTTCTCTTATTTTAAGATTATTGAAATATGGAAGTTAAAAAAATACACAAATTACAAGTATTTTCAAGAAACAGTATATTGCAGGAAATGTGATGGTAAAAAAAAAAAATTTCGTTGCAACATTGATACATCTCATGTGTGAGTCACTTGTGTAGGAAATACGTCATTGTTTCAACACTTGTGCATTTACGGTAAATAATGATAAGTAGGCAAAGCGAAAATAATTAGAAAGAGATATAAAATAAATATTTTTTGCTTTTAAAGAGATAAGGTATGTATAAACTGATAAAATAGCTGCAATAAAAACATTAATGAAAAGTCATATATATGGAGATAAATAATTGAAATTGAGACTATTGCAGTGAAAAAAAAAAACATTTCAATACATGCTTCATTTCTACTTCATCCTATTTTACTCGTGAAATATGTTTGTTCCTGAAATTGACAGTATGTGTGTAAAATTAATGACCCAATGTCTTCATTTGATATTAGCAAGGTTTAGGAGTTGTACATGCAAAAATAGAATCTGCTGCATCAAGATTGAGGCATTACATAATAGCTTTGGGCTAACAACATATGCTGTTTGATAACGCGCTTTTTGTGATAAAAATTGACAATACAAAAGTCATAGCAGATTTTTCAAAGCATAGTGTCTAAAAATGTTAACTGTTTGTTAATAAATCTAATTGACCAAATAACAAATGTTTTATGTTCATTCACCCCTAAAAATGTACAAGAAACTATTTTATTTATTTACTGCTTTGAAATTAGTGCCACAGTTAGGTATTTACTTTTTTATGTCGTTAAATCATTCATGACTTAGAAAGTAGAAAGTGGAAGATGTTACTTTGCGTTTTTGTTCAACAATCGCGTTTGCATAATGCTCAGTCATAGGTAAAATTATGAATTTAAAACTCAGCCGAAAACAGCAATAGCAATAAAATTTGATAAAAGTTATTTTAAAAGTAGAGAATATATACTTAGTAACTTAATGAAAATAAAGTTTTTTTGACCCAATTTCATGTTGGCAAGAGTCACAGATGTGAGTTTCGTAAGTCTAACCTCAAATTTTTCAAACGAAGCAACGAATGGTTTTCAAATAAAATAAACTTAAATATGATAATAATAATCGCTTTGAACAAGGAATAAGAAAAAATAGCCTGAGAAATCTGTGCTCCTTTTTGTGATCCATAAAAAAAGGAAAGTAAATTGATTTTCAAGTTTTGCGAATTCTGAGAAGGCAACAAGGAAAATTTCATTCTCTTTAAAAGCCAAGGATATGCAATCTTTTGTAAGTATAGTCGTGATAAACTTGTATTATTTTATCTCTTAAAACTGCTTCATCTACAGGAGCCCACTTGCAAAATAATGCGCAACGTCGAACACGTAATGTTTGTGGCTGCATTGAGTCTCAAATTTTATGATTCACGAATTTAATGCAATCCTGCATAACAGTTGAATAACAGTGATGAAAGTATAAAATTGTTGCTATTACTTTTCATCAGATTGCATACATGCCAACATTGCAAAAATCTTCACTCACATTTTGATTAAATAAACATTTTTAGCTGTAGTCAAACTGTTAGATAACATTCTTATTTTTAAACTATGGACTACATACTGTTTTGGAAGGTTAGAGATAAAAATTAAAGAAAAACAGCTACAACTCAGGAACTGAAAATACCTTGACACTGTCAACGGAGTACATGATACAGTGCTCCATGACTCCAGCACAGGCACCTGCCATCATGTGTACACCCACTGACTGGGTTGGCAGGGTTTCATAGTCATCTGCATTCATTGTTTATCACCAGCGAGACCGTCAATATGTACTCTCTCTTATCTAGACACCTTGATACACCTGCAAATAGTAGTCCACGTTAAAAAAACGAAATCTTCACCCACAACCAATGTGTCTCTCTGGATAAATATGTATGTTTAAAAACCAGCGAGAGAGAGAGAGAGAGAGAGGAAAAGAAAAAATAGCACCAACTACAAATTCTGCAGCAAATAATTAGTAAGTACCGTGATAACGTGTGCATTTATGCATTGTGTGTATGATATACCATCTACGTACCACTGAGAGTATTTTGATGAAAACAGTGTATAGAAAAAAAAAGAAAAAAAAAAAGCGAGTAGCCGGCAGTTCTTCTTCCTTATAATCTCTGCATGCACTAGCACACGCCTCGGCAAGCTGATGTACGGCACGGCACTACTGCAATTACGAGCTTTGAAATGTTCAACTGCAGATTGCATGCAGAACTGAATATAGGTAGGTACTAGTGGCACATACACACCACGCACACATGAGGAGAAGAGGAACATGTGACCATAAAATACATCACCTTCTATAGTAGCAAAAACAACCAGCAGAAAATTTTTTTACGAAACGTGCTGCTATTATACCTTTCCATTTACTCACTTCTTTCATATATTTATTATTACACTTGTGCACTTTTAAAGATGTGCATGATTAAAAGTGCACCTTTCTTTACTTGATTATACATATAAATAATGCAAATACACTACAATACGATCAATAGAAGGCAGCAGTAGCCTAGTAGTAGAAGAAAAACTGTCGGTGCAAAAAAAATTTCAATTCAAACTTTAAAGAATATATATTTATTTATCTAATTTCAAAAAAAAGTTGGTTCTTTGCTGCTCAAAAACACATGCATTTGTTTTCCCGCAGGTCACACCGTGCAGGTCTTATCAAAATTAAGCGAAAACGTCAAGAGTCGAAACGAACAAACATTTACACGATAAGTAGGTAGGTACAGCAAAAGCAGAAGTTTCGGAGCGCACTTTCTCTTTTATACTGTTGCTGTTTTTTTGTTTTGTGTTAATAATTAATGTACACTTAACTTATAAAAAAAAATACCGAATAAGTTACGTCAGTGGGTAATATATAAAAGCACTACTGGCAGTATTTTTATGGTGTACATAATTGCCGTTGGGCACCCGGTGTTTTTCTAAAACGTCTAATATGTTTAGTACCTAAGTGCAGCAGATGCAGTCAATGCAGATAACCTTATGGTATATGGTACCATGCTGTGTACAGACCATAGACATAAAGAAGAATAGACTGCTCTGGGTAGTGGGCTAGTGACGAGTAATAGGTACCTAGACGGCGTAGACATATAAGACAAATAGACTACTCGTTCTTATTCACGGCGCTGAATCACAAGTGTAAAAAGTACGGAAGCGCCTACGCGCCACCTAGCCAGCTAGCCACGTAGCTAGCTAGCTAGCCTGGTGAAAATTCCATTTCATGGTGAGTATTGGCCGTGACGATTTAACACTCGAAAATCCGAGTATCGAGCAGTGATACATCTCATGTGTGAGTCACTTGTGTAGGAAATACGTCATTGTTTCANATTATAAAAGGTGAAAATGATAAATCGTGTACATACATGTGAAGGTTATGTTAAAATATTTATACGTGGCTAGCTGCAGGCTAGGTGGCGCGTAGGCGCTTCCGTAAAAAAGAGACATAACGTCGAACGTGGATATCTGTCTCTCTCGCACATTGTTCACGCACATGCTTACACTCACACAATACTCACGCTCAATGCTGTGGAGAGTGTGGAGCAGTTTTTTATATGTCTATTAGACCAAGAGCTGAGGCCAAAGGGTGGTCAAAATTTTAACCAGCCGCCACTCTCACCAAAATGGAGAAACCTTATGATTCGTAAAGATCCGAAATATTTCGGTCATATTTCATAGTGGTAAGGAAATATGTGGTAATTATAGTAGTGCCGTGTAATTTTTTTTATTAACCAGCCGCATTTTACACCAATGGATAGAAAATTAAAAGTTGTCATCTATCAGTGCCATTTGCGGCAAGATTAAAATTCATCTTGTACCCGAAAATCGACCTCCAAAAGTATAGATATTGTATTCTTATCTATAATGTTATCTATAACCTCTCATCTATTATCTTAGATGAGTATTGCAGATAAGATCGGGTAAGGAATCTATATTTTTAAAGGTCGATTTTCGGCTATAAGATGCATTCTTATCTTGCCGCAAATGGCACCTTCAGGCGAAAACTTTTTATTTTCTAATTATTGGTGTAAGTTGCGGCTAGTCAATAAAAAAGATTATACAGCACTACTATAATTATCACATAACTCTTTACCACTATGAAATATGACCGAAATATTTCGGATCTCCACGAATCATAAGGTTCCTCAATTTTGGTGAGAGTGGCGGCTGGTTAAAATTTTGACCACCCTTCAGCCTCAGCTCTTGGTCTACACGCATCATATTGATACGGGTACTATTATGATGTAAGAAGTAAGGTGTAGTGGCGTTGCGCATCCATTCTGATTGACCAATCAGGAACGCTTCCATCGCGCCGCCATGTCTTTCTGCGAATTTCAAAAGCTTTTAAAATATAAAGCATATTAACATCAAGAAACTCGTGAAACAATACATATTTTTTGTTTCAATATTTTCATTCCAGTTGTTTCAGTGACCAAACGTACAATTCGTGAATATTCACACAGAAAAAGTGACTAAATAGGTAATCATTCATCAATTGACGTACATGTATATTCATACGTGTGTCTACATCTATATATATATGTCTCACTTCGAGGTGGATAGATTTTAGTTTCAACTTTGGCCATTTCGTTTCATTGTACGGGCTCTTCGGCGCTGTACGGCTGTAGTGGTCACATCTCCCTCAAATGTGGCGTCGTGATGGAAGGCGCAGAACGGCACGAAAATGAGACCTCGGAACGCCACACCTTATATTCTTACATCATGGGTACTATGGAGCAAATTGAGTGAACAGACTGAACAGACTTATGTTGTGTTCTCTGTCAGTCAACATAGTTGCGACCATAGGCTTTGTTGCCTGATGGAAAAAGAGGTATAGATCTATTCAGTCTGTTCACTCACTTTGAGTTTAGCGGAACAGTGGAACCCCCTTTTCAATATGAACGTTAACAATGAAATAAGCAAAAAATGTCTATGTGAATAGCTCCAATATGGAGAGACAACAGCATCGAGGGGGACTGGGGAAGATAAGGGGGAATCTATCTCTCTCGCGCACGATATCCCGAGTAACACTTCAATATTTTATTATAATTATGTTATTTTTACTCTATTATTATTTTTAAATACCCTCATTCGACTATTTGTTGTTAAATTTTTATCTACTTTTCTATATTTTTAAATTTCCCGCAGGGGCCAGGGGGTTGGCGGCGGGTTCAGCGGGGGTTGCCTACAATATGTGTATAGTTGACGTCGTGCAGGCCGCTGCGCGAGCAGAGAAGTCTCGACCGTGTCATTGCGAGCACACATTTTATAGCTTCCTTGAGAAGCCCTTTCATACTAGTGAACATTAAGGTAAATGTCCCAGCAGCTGGCCACCAAAAAACTGGTCCCAATACTTGGCCACTGTATAAAATACACAGTCAAATCTGGTGGCCAACTATTAGGCAATGCACGTGTCTTAATAGTTGGCCACCAGCTTTTGTATATATTTAACGTGGAGGTGGCCAAGTACTTGGATACAACAGCCTTAAGGTGGCCAACTACTGGGACATTTACCTAAACCTTTTCTTGTTAATGTTAACAAGCGTTTAATCATTTCACCTTCTTCCTCAACTCCTGGACACAGCAGACATGGGACTGCCACCTCAAGCCGACTCATAGGCCACATATACTTATATCCCATACAGGGACTCCGATATGCCACATTTTAGGTTACAATATGTGTGCATACATGTATGTAGAGAGCACGTGGTGGCTCAGTTCGGCTATAGGTCAGCAAGCGAAAGACCGTGGTTCGATTCCTGGCCAGTGTGACACTTTTTTCGAGCAAGTACCTCTGTGTGAATTTCATATGTGCTTTTTCATCACGTAACGGTCACCGTGAAGAGGATGGGTGACCTTTTCTGTCACTTTTTAATTTTATATATTTTCATTGCAATCAAGAATAACAATCTGAGTACCCCGACACAAAATCGAACCCACGACTCTAAATGCTGTGTCTCTTTTTTACTCCGCGCATCAGTGCCGTGCACAATAATTAGCAGCGTATATTTAATATTTCTCATATGTCTACGGCTTGAGGCTAGGTCAGATCTAGAGTCTGTAATGGTCGTATCTACAATAATATCTAATATAAATTATAGAGACATATAGCTGAGCATACATACCTTATGTATGTAGGTATGTTGTGAAGGTACAGACTCTCTTGTGTGACCGCTTCCTGATGGATTCTTAAAATTAGGTTTCACAGAATGTTCATAATTGGTTAGTAAATAAATCATAAATAAAATTTTGTTTCAATTCCCACAATATTTTAATGTACCAGCATATAACATAAGATAAAAATAACATTACACAACTCATCTATAAAATTTAATTGACTATAATGACATATTTCTTTAACTTTACGAATTCCTGAATATATATTTTCATACCTATAATTGCAAAAGGCAAGTAAAGCCAGATTTAAATTTCAGTGTTATTGGCTGGGATTTGAACTCAAGAGCTTACTCTGTAAGCTTCGAATGTTCCTCTTAAGGATGGCATGGGTAGCGATAAATTTGAAAAACCATTAAACCATAAAAAATCCTTCTCTTTCAGCTTTCAAACTTCATCAACTTATGTAAATTTACATTGGCAGTTGGCGCTTCAGCAAAGTTCAAATCCCAATAAAATTTTTTCATTATAATCTTAAAAATCTCTAGTAATAGGTTCAAAATAAATGAAAACTGTTAAAAGTGACATTCTAGAATGTAAAAATACAGCAAGAACTACTGTTCAGGTAGACAAAAAGGTTTGCTACATTTTGCTCAACTATTAACAAATACAGAAAATTTTCTAAAATTTGAAAAGACCGTTTTCATGAATTACCGAAACTTAAATGTAAATCAGTAAGTACCTATTACCCGAAATTCTTATACGAATATCACTATAATAATATTTTATTTGTATTAAACAAAGTGTACTAAAGTACAATTGTTCGGAAGTTGCATAAGGTTTCAAACTCTGTACATACAACATACCGTGAGTAGCTTATTTACCTACCACTATTTTTTTTGTGGCTTCGTACATGGCATCTCAACAAATCAGGTCTACTGAACGAACGCGGGCATAACGAACAGGAGTAGAAAGTTTCAGCTCTACTGGTCTTGCATATACTCACATGTTGCACGTAGTAATCATCCAAACGATCGAACGTTTTGCCACATCG